TGCTGAGTGTGGGAGCCCAACACAGGGCTCGATCCCACGACCTAAGCTGGATGCTTAACCAACTGAGACATCCAGGTGCCCCTCTACAGTCTGGCCTTTTAGAAGGATTTTTGGTTGAAAGGAAGTCCCCTTCCTCTTATGAAAGATGTGTTCTTTCATTGTCTGAGCCAGAGATGAACCATCGGCATAATCTTTTCTGCACAAGATGAGGCTTGTTTTCATCAGAAAATGAGTCTCTGCAAGGTATTCACTTCAACATGTCAGGAACTCTGCCCTGGCTCTATCTTCCATTCCAGACCTCTTCCTGGGGTCCCGGGGCCTCACAGTCCCAGGGTCTGTGTGTTCTCACAGCCTAACTCTCACACCTGCCCCACCTTGCCTTCCCATCACCTCTCCCCTGTAACCACCGGATCTGCACCCAGACCAACCCCCACTGATCCTCCTCCTGGTTGACCACATTCCCAGGTTCTGCTTCTCTCTGCCTCAGGGCCTTGGCTTAACCTGGGCTGGGACAGTGCTCGTCCCCATGTCCTGACTTCATCTTTGCAGGGTCTATGTTTTCAACATCTCTCTTGGTTCCATCCTTTGCAGTTCATGGACAAGTCCAACCCCATCCTATTTTTCTTAGATTTACTGAGATGGGGAAATACTCCTGAGAAAATGTAAGTGAGAAGAACAGCATGATCTCAATTTTATAAAACCATTTGTGTGTGAAAGCATAGGGGGGGGGAGTCTGGAAGGAAATATACAGAAATGCTAAATAGTGGTTATTTCTGGGAGCTGGTGATATGCTCCTTGTGTGAATGGCCAAGTTCACTTTTTGATGAGTGTATGACTTGTGGTGCCAGTAACGTCGTCTTCAGCGTGAAGTCTTCCTCGGGGAAATTCTTGATTCCTTTCGTTTTATATTGCTTTTTTAAATCTCAACATGGCACCAGTGTGTCTCGTCGGGTCCTAAAATACCTACCCAAACCAATGGTAGTAATAGCTAGAATTTATTGAGTTCTTACTATGCGCTAAGAGCTGTCCTAAGTGGTTTACGTCATTGCCTGATTAAAAGCATACCGGCAGGCACCTGGGTGGCTCAGTTGGTTGAGCGACTGCCTTCGGCTCAGGTCATGATCCTGGAGTCCCTGGATCGAGTCCCGCATCGGACTCCCTGCTCGGCAGGGAGTCTGCTTCTCCCTCTGACCCTCCCCCCTCTCATGTGCTCTCTCTCTCTCTCTCATTCTCTCTCTCAAATAAATAAATAAATCTTAAAAAAATAAAATAAAATAAAAGCATACCAGCCGACACTCTGTCTACTCTTATAACCTCAGTTAATTTTCCTGACAATTCCACAATGTTGTTATTATTACTATCATCATTCTATAGAAGAAACTGAGATTTAGGGAGGTCATTTGCCATGGGTACCTCAAGCACCGTAAGGCCAGGTGGGGAATTTGGCCAGCTGGAAAGTTCATCCCCGGGGGCCTACAGGGGGCTGCAGATGCCCAGCTGGAGAGGACTGTTTTACGAGTGGAAATGTGGGACAGAGCTCCCCATTTTTTTAAAGAGAAGCTGCAAATGAGGCTTTCATGTGGCAGATCCTGAATTTTAAATTGCAGCAGCATATTGAATTTAAAAAAAATACAGCAAAATAGGCACTAAAATACTGCAGGTAAAAAAAATAGAACAAGCCAAAAGGCCAAACAAAACATTCCATGACCCAGATTTGCCCTAGACGTTATGTCCTTTAGAAGAACCAGCCTGGATGATGTCCTCCAGCCCCCCTGAAGCCCCAGACACCCTCTTTCATGCTACCTCACAGTACACGGTATAGACCACGGATCAGCAAAATTTTCCTTGGCCAGATAGCAAATATTTTTGGCTTTGCAGTTTCTGCCATTTTGGGTGGAAGCCATCGACAAAGGGGCACAGTTGTGTTTCAGTACAATCTTGTTTACAGATGCTGAAATTTGAATTTCCTATCGTTTTGTGCATTTCGTGACACAATATTCTTCTTTTGGTTTTTTTCCAGCTATCTAAATATGCAGGAACCATTCTTAGCCCAGGGGCTGTGCAAAAACAGGTGGTAGGCTGCTTTAGACCCTAAATACTGGTGACTGTTTCTCCAGGAGCTTCGGTGTCTGCGGCTCTAAGCTCTAGGATCCAACTGCCCTAAACCACCTTGGGGAAGGCCCTTGTCACAAGCAGCTGCGGCGTGTATGTGGCTCCTCATTCCCACGTGGTTCTGACTGGTCTGTCTTGGTGGTGTCCACATTGCATCTTCAGCTGAACCTTTTCTTCCCATGAACGCCTTAGTGGGAGCGCCTGGGTGGCTCAGTCGGTTAAGAGTCTGCCTTCGACTCAGGTCATGATCTCAGGGTCCTGGGATTGAGCCCCACATCGGGCTCCCTGCTCAGCGGGGGAGTCTGCTTTTCCCTCTCCCTCTGCCCTCCCCCACTCCCAGTCTTGTGTGCTCATGCACACGCTCTCTCTCTCTCTTTCTCTCAAATAAATAAAATCTTAAAAAAGAAAGAGAAAGAAAGAAAGAAAGAAAGAAAGAAAGAAAGAAAGAAAGAAAGAAAGAAAGAAAAGAAAGAAAGAAAGAAAGAAAGAAAGAAAGGAAAGAAAAAGAAAGAAAGAAAGAAAGAAAGAAAGAAAGAAAGAAAGAAAGAAAGAAAGAAAGAAAAAGAAAGCCTTTGTGGTGTATGTCAAACAACTAACAATAGTTGGTCCCACAACCACCGCCTTTGCCCTGCTCATTAGCCCCCAGTGTAGATTATGGAAAAACCATGGTTGATAGAAAAACCATTGGTCCCATTCATTGCCACAACCAAGAGCTGCGGATGGACCAAAAAATTATCTAAAAGCCGCCTGGCAAAGGACTTTGCTGGAAGAGAGTACAACTCACAAGAGTGGTTAAGAACTTTGGCTTTGGAGTAGGGCAGTTTCAGATGGAAGTCAGAGTAGGGAGCCTGCCCCTACTCTGTGTCCCTTCCCTGAGCCTGTTTCCTCACCTGTCAAAAGGGATCATAATACCAGGTACCTCATACGGCTGTTTTGAGAGCTAAAGAGCATAAAACACGTACAGGGCTTAGGATGGCACCAGGTATGTGGTATGGGCTTAGCGTGTGTGACTTGTTCTGATTTCCTATCCAGCTCGCTGGAAGGGAGTGGGGTTTATAAACTAAGAGGAGTACGTGAATGGGACTCTAAAATCTGAACAAGAAAAAAAATGAGGGCCTTTTTTTTCATATCAGGGAGGAAGTTATGACTTTGTCTTCCTTCCAAGAATATCCTGGAGTCTGCAAGACTTCTCTCCAGGACTCCTCTTGCTGGTGCTGAGTCCATTCTTTGCCTGGTGAGCAGAGAATCAGAATCAAGGGGATGCTTTACATACAGCATCACATTTATTGGGAAATGCCTCTGGCTTGGGGCCTCCTTAGAGCAGGGGTTAAATGCATGGCACTCATTATTATAAGATAATTATTGACCTAATAATAATGACTACCATCCATAGTGCAACAGTGAAAACCACAGGCTTTGAAGCTTAGGTTCAGATATCGATTCTTCTCCTTTCCAGCTGTGACGCCTCAATCTTTTCTGTGATCTGGGTTACATTCACATGTCAGTATTAATAGCCTTTACCTCCCAGGGCGGTGGACAAGAGTAAATGAGAGAAGGGATGTAAGATTTCAGCTCTGTGCTTGGCCCACTGGAAGCATTTAATAAGTGCTGGCTGCTTTCACAACACACCTAGAGTTTTGCAAAAATTATCTCATCCTTACAGTAGCTGGGCTGAAATATAAGGCCAGATGTGCTGTCCTTCTGATCTGCTGTCTGCGACGCCACCCTGCCCCTCCCCCTCCACACCATGATGTTCTCAGGCCGGGCCAGGAACAATGATGCATAATTCCATGCTGTGTTACGGTGAGGAGTTCTGAAATTGTTGTCATTTATAAGAACTGGCAGAGCCATTAGCTGCCCCAGAGATCGGTTAATTGGCTAGTTAACAAACACCCACAAGGATCACAAGGATTATCAAAAACCCAGAATGATTTAAGTCCAACTGATATCGAAGGAAGAAGAGGAAGCAAATGTTGGCAGTTTCCCCAAGATGCACCTGTGCATTCTGTGCCTCCCGAAGGCATGGGCCACACCGCAGAGCACAGCTGGGTGTGACCAGGGCGAGGGGACAGTCCTGGGTCGGATATGAGTAGGATCAGGGACAGTGGGCTACTCCTGAACCCATGCCCGGGGGAACTGACACCTGGGAGTCAGCAGATCTTGATTGGAGCTGTGTGAGCTCAAGCAAAATCCTTATGCCCAGTTTCCTCATCTGTAAAATGGAAAATTAATACATAGAGAATCCATTTCCTCCTTTTTTCCCTCACCAATTGCGGGGGGGTGGGGGGGCTAAAATAGATAAGGCAAGACAGTCCTCATAATGAATGATTGTGTTCCATAGCTATTTGCTCTTCCTTATAGATCCCAACATCATGCAAAATCTAGGAAGCCAATTTTCTTTTTTTTTTTTAAAGGTTTTATTTATTTATTTGACAGAGAGAGAGAAAGAGCATACAAGCAGGGGGACCAGCAGAGGGAGAGGGAGAAGCAGACTCCCCACTGGGCAGGGAGCCCAATGCGGGGTTCGATCCCAGGACCCCAAGATCATGACCTGAGCTGAAGGCAGACGGTTAACCAACTGAGCCACTCAGGCGCCCCAGGAAGCCGATTTTCTAGGAAGTGAAGTTTTCCACTTCTTTCTTCTTTATAGATCTCAAAATCTAGGAAGCCAATTTTCTAGGAACTGAAGTTTTCTGCTGCTGCTGCTTTTTTTTTTTTTTTTTCTCTTCTCTTCTCTACTTTTGTGCCCTAGGACAGGTGCTGATGGGCCAAGGTACACACAGCCCACAACAACCAGGGAAGTATCTTCACGGTGGGGGTGAGGACCCAGGCTCACCCTAAGGTCTCTGGCTCCTCCCCCCAGCTCAGACCCACATTTGTTTCCACAGGGGCTTTCCGAGGAGTTTGCAAGAAGATCGATCACTTCCCCGAAGATGCTGACTATGAACAAGACACAGCGGAGTATCTCCTGCGTGAGTTCCCACTTCTGGGGTCTCCCCTAGAGGGGGTGGGGGTGGCCTGCAGTCACCCAGCTGCTGCTGAGGCTCCTCAATACCCACCCCTGGAAATGGATACTTTCAAAGGAGCTTCCGGGGACCTTTGCTACTGGACAGAGACATTCAAGTGATTCTGATATCTAAGTCTCTTTAATGTCAATGAACTAGACATAGAAGGGGGAAAAGTAGGTGAGTCAAAACTGAAAGGTTCTTTTTAGTCTGCTTAGGAGAGAATCTAAGGAATTTTCTTCAATTGGAAACAAGTTTTCACCTTCCCAAGAGAGCTAAGTTGAGGTGCTAATGGGTGAGGTGTTAATGGGTTAGGTGTTAATGGGCACAGTCCTAAGAGGCAAGCCCTGGGAGATTAAATGCAAACCCAAATTCTCCTCTCTGCAGTTTCGGTCCTATTGGGGCAGGGCCAGCGTCTTCCTGGGATTGGCCCAAGGTTGGTAACCTGGATATGACATGGTACTGTCACAAATGCAGCACATGGGGGGCAGCAGAGCGTGGGGGCTTAGCGCGAGGGCTCTGGGTTCTGGTTAGACCTGGCCTTTTACGCCCTGACTCTCTACTGGCTGGGTTAAACCTGGGTACACTGCCTTACCTTTCCATCTCCCAGCTATCCTTATCAAGTCAGAAATGGAGATGATAATGTCATCTGTGTGACAGGCTTGTGAAAATTAAATAAGCTCATGCCATTATGCTCAGCCCAGGGCCCAACATGGCGTCAGTGAAGGAATATAGCTAGCCCTTTTTTGTTTCGCGGGACAACCAATAGCGAAGTCCAGCTGCAGATATGCACCTGACACTGATCCAGGCACAGAGGGACTTTGACATTTCATGTAATCTAAATGTAACTTCTTCCACAAGAATGCGTGTCAAATTCACTCAAAGGGGAATTTCAAAGGCATTGACTAATTTATTATTAGGGAATGGTAAATGTAAGGTTTGCCCTTTTTTGTTTTTAACTGCTATTATAAATAAAAACTTCAAGAAATTGTCCTATTCAGATTATGTTGATAACTTGTAGCTCAAGAAGAGTGATTTTATTTTATTTTTTTTAAGATTTTATTTATTTATTTGACAGAGAGAGACAGTGAGAGAAGGAACACAAGCTGGCAGAGTGGGAGAGGGAGAAGCAGGCTCCCTTTTGAACAGAGAGCCTGATGCGGGGCTCGATCCCAGGACCCTGGGATCATGATCTGAGCCGAAGGCAGACACTTAACGACTGAGCCACCCAGGCGCCCCAAGAAGAGTGATTGTAAAATTAGAACCATTTGTAGCCCTGCTCACACCTGTTAGTCTGCAGATGTATGAGCCCTGAATCATATAACAATGTTAGTTATATAGTTATTATAGCAGGGTCAATTAGGAAAGTCAGTTTTAAGCTGATTTTTAAAACCTAAATATACCGTTTCTCTTTTTCCAGTCCTTATGCAACTACTAGGATTTACCCAAATGCCTACTAGGATTTGTGCCAGCAACTCAGAAAAATTTGGTACGGGGAACACAGGGCATATTTAGAGATGTAGCTTTGTACTTGGACCTCCTCTGAAGAACAGCTTTAAAGTCATCTCCAGTGGGGTTTTACTGAGTGCCCATCATTTTTCTTTGTTTTTCTTTCCTGCTTTAATGAAACACTGTGACGTTTGCCCCGTTGGAGGTGGAACACGAGCTATAACTGCTATTTCACAGCTCCCAAAACTGATTTTCAGTTCTTCCCAGAGGTGGATTGCATTTCCGACAAAATACTTTGCTCCCGTCTGGGAAGGTGAGGTCCTCGCCCCCATCCCATGGTCCGCTCATACTTCATCATTAGCCTCAGACCCCCGCTAAGGTTCAGGGGAGGCCTTTACGAGCACACAGATGTCCTGCGAGGGACTTTGGAATCCCCCACCCCACCACACAGAGCCAGGGGCACGTTCCCCCAGGGCTCTCCAGACCCCTCCGATGTGTAGGCTGCCAGTTCCTGTTGTGGCCACACCGTAGTGGGACTGGGACTCGGCACATTGATTTTTCTGCTGTTTCCTCGTTCTCGAGTGCTGTCAGGGAAGGTTACAGCTTCACCATAGAGCATAAGGTTCACTAGCCCACGAGTCCTGTGGACAAGAGACTCCCCATAATATAGCCCTGGACTTGGCCAGGTCCTCTCTGATGCCCATGGTAGAATTACACTGCAACAAACTGCCCTCCCCACCCCTAAGACCTCAACTTACCCCCAGATAGTTTGGGGAGGAGAAACAGTAAAGGAAGGAAGGCAGGGAGGAAGGGGGACGGAGGGAGGGGGAAAGACAGTAAAACCTTTTTGTTCTGAAGCCACCATGTGTCCACGGTGTTAAAATGAAAGTAGAGTGGATCACAACAACTCAGCAAAAATGGCAGAAGCAAATGTCCTGAGGCAGACACCTGCAACCACGTATTTCATCTGTGGGCTAAAAAGTGGGGTCTGGCCACCAGCTGGTTGCCACGGGGTTACTGCAGCCAACTTCGCACATCTCATAGCCACCCATTTCAAATTTGCACTTTTATAACCAACACAGTTCAATAGCGTCAAACGTCCGTAATTATTTCCTTTGGGCATAATTATACTTTACAAAAAAAAAAATTTTTTTTTTAAAGATTTTATTTATTTATTTGAGACAGAGAGAATGAGAGAGAGAGCACATGAGAGGGGGGAGGGTCAGAGGGAGAAGCAGGCTCCCTGCCGAGCAGGGAGCCTGATGTGGGACTCAATCCAGGGACTCCAGGATCATGACCTGAGCCGAAGGCAGTCGCTTAACCAACTGAGCCACCCAGGCGCCCCCAAAAAATTTTTTTTAACTACTCTTTTAATCGATTGAACTCATCACATTGAATATTCGAGCAATTCCTGTCAATACACAATGCAAATGAATGCTTTAAAGGTTTGTTCACGTTCTAGTTCGCTTGAAAACACGGGAGGCAGGTCAACCCCTGATATTTGTGGGGCCCTGGGCTGAGGGTCTAAATGGAAACCCATAGGTCATATGTGTAAATATCGAGAAGTTATAAATAAGCTATGCCCACAGTCGGGCTCATGTGCCCACCCACCTAGGACCCCAGAGCCCCTTCTCAGGGATACCCCTCAACCTGGGGACTAAAGGAAGCAGGGGGTCCAGCCTTTCCCAAAACTTGACCATGGAAGCAGAAGGATGGGAGGGACACTGTTATCAGGCCCCAAGTCTGCCCAGATCCCAACACTGGGTGATTTGGGGTGGCCATCTTTAAGCAAAAGCAAGGACTCTTTCATTTTCTTCTCATTAAGAGAACATCACCCCCGTGTGCCCTCAGACTCTCACCCCATTTTTCCATCACCCCTCCCAGGCAACCCTGTTGGCTAAATCAGCTACCAAACTTTCAGAAAACTTTTTCTATGAGACCAAATAAAACACCAGTCCTAACGTTGCAAAAAGAGCTTGGCAGTAGGCACATAAGCACCTCCGTGCAGTAGCAAATAGAAACAGCAGGAGTTGGGTCACCATGAATACGGGGCTTGAAAGCCTTGAACTTTCAGCTTTGAAATTCCCAAGGCCAAAAATGAACTCAGGACGCTTCCTGCCACGCCAACCCCACTCTGCACCTGCTCGTGCCCCATGGCATTCTGGGTGGCACCAGGGGCTCAGCGGCCAAGCACCAGACATGGGCATCAGCTCCTCTGTCTCCCACTGCCCACTGCCAATTCTGGTGGCTTTACCTTAGAAATACATCCTGAGTCCCACAACTTCTCACCACCTCCAGCCTACTACCCCGGCCCCAGCCGTGGTCAGCTCAAGTCTGGCTTCCACAGCCCTTGCGGCAACAACAGCTCACCCTTTCCAAGAGCCCCACAGTGTTCAGTGCTCTCCTGTCATTATCTTGACATTTTTCATGATTTTGGAACAAGAGGCCTTGCATTTTCATTTTGCACTGGGTCCTGCAGATTATGCTGCTCTTCCTACCTGTCAACTTGACTGGCTTGGGAGCCGCATGAGGTCAGGGATCCTAGTTCTTTTGTACACTAATGAACATGGAATTTGTTCAACTGGTATATTCTGGTCTGGACATAGCAGGAAATACCCTTATACTGGTTGGGTGAATACTGGGTCCCCCACCATAGAACCCCTCCCCCAGAACCTTAGGGACCCCAGGACCCAACACAGCGCACGTGCATTTAGTGGGTGCACAGTAACATTGTTGAATGAATAAATAAACTCACTTGTTCCTTCAGTGACTGAGAGGGTATTAAGTGAGGATCACCAGACCCAGTGCCATCCAAATGTAGGTGTGTCTTGGGAAAGATTCTGCATTTTGGTGAACAGCGTGTGATCTGATGGGGTTCTCTGGATGCAGGGCCAGCAACATAATTGCCACGATCCAATGCAAATGAAAATCCCAAGCTCATTCAAAACACCGGCAAAAAAAGCTTTTTCTTTTCTTCTGTTCTCTCTCTCTCTCGATCTGTCACGGTGTCTTTCATTTGCTATTTCATGTCACACTACTGCCAGGGCCGGGGGTGGGGAGCAGGGCCACAGGGACAATAGGTGAATTCGTAGCTTTGCGGGTGCCTGGGGCTTGCACCTAACCCTGATTCTTCTTTAGTCCATGCCCAGCCCCCACCAGGAAGGAAGGCTGCAGTGATCACTGCTTGGGGCAGGAGAAGGGGCAGCTAAGGTCCCATCCCAGGGGAGTAGGGAGGTGGAGAGCTGACAGATGGTAGGATTCCCCTGTGAGTCAAGGCTCCAAGCCCCTCACTGCACGCTCCATCGGCCCATCAGACTTCACTTCTAAAACATAATGCAAGGGGCGCCTGCGTGGTTGACCATCCAACTCTTGATATCATCTCAGGTCTTGATCTAAGGGTCGTGAGTTCAAGCCCCGCGTTGGACTCCACACTGAGTGTGGAGCCCACCTAAACACACACACACACACACACACACAATTCAAAGACAAAATGATTAAGAATTTCAGGATGGTGACTGCAGAGCCTTAGCCACATGCACAGGGCCCTGAGCGACATTACTGGTCTCATGCCCATGTTAGATGCAGGCTCTGTCCTGCCCGTGTGCTGTTTTCCCCTTGGGCACCGCATGCCCGGGGTGGGTGGAGCCTGGGGCCGGCTGGGATGCAGGTGGAACCGTCTCCTCTTGTCTCCACAGGGGCTGTGAGGGCCTCCAGTGTCTTCCCCATCCTCAGCGTCACATTGCTGTTCTTTGGCGGGCTCTGCGTGGCAGCCAGCGAGTTCCACCGAAGCAGACACAATGTCATCCTCAGCGCGGGCATCTTTTTCGTTTCTGCAGGTGAGCATCTGGCCCCAGCCCAGAGATCCTCCCAGACACCCCACCCAAGCCGGGGCCATGAGGACAAAGCATTTGGGGTTCCGTGCAGGGAAAGGGCGAGAAAATGCTCGACTTGTGTTAAGAATGAGGAGCCAGAGACTTTCATGAGAACCAAAGATGCTGACACGCCGGGAAGCTGTAATGGAAAGGCAAGAGGAGATGGGGGCAGGGTCAGCTCAGAGGGAGAGAGAGGCTGGTTAGTAAGAGAGCGTGTGTGACCCTGGAAAGACAGGGGTTTGAACCGCGAGGGTCCACTTACACAGGGATTTTTCAACAAATCCATACGGTAGTGTAAATGTATTTTCCCTTCTTCTTAATGACATTTTCTTTTCTCTAGCTTACTTTCTTGTATGAATACAGTATAGAAGACATATGACATACAAAGTATGTGTTAATTGTGTCTGGTAAGGCTTCCGGTCAACAGGAAACAATTAGCAGTTAAGTTTTTGGAAAGTCAAAAGTTAAACCCAGATTTTTGACTGTGTGGGGGGCAGCACCCCTAACTATTGTCAAGGGTCAACTGTCTATGCTTGCACATAGGGGTCAGGTGTATGTAATGTGTGGCCTGAAAGACTGGCTAAGCGTATTTTTAATGGGGTCCAACTTTCTCTTCACTTGGATATGTTCACATATGTCTCTGGCCCTTTGAGATATGTCACAGCGTTCCAAGGGCTCAGATCCTCATATTGTTCAAGACGTCCCTGGGAATAAGGTAAAAAGCCAGCAGCCTGGATGCTCTCCGGGAAGACCTCATAATCAATAGCTGGCCTGACCAGAATGTGGCAAGAGGGATGAGAGACAATCTTAGTTCAGGACGGGGTCCCATGCACTGCCTTCTCTCTCCTCCCTCCATCTCTGATCCTCCTCCACACACCTCATGCTCTCTTCCCCCTGGATTTTCATCCCTCCCTACCTAATAACAGTATCCACTTCATGGTGGTGTTGGAAGGAGGCTGAACATAAAATGCAAAGTATTATTTTCTTTTTTTTTTTAGTTTACTTATTTATTATTTTAGGGGGGCTCAAACTCACAACCCCGAGATCAAGAGTCACGTGCTCCTCTGACTGAGCCAACCGGGGCACCCCAATATCATTTTCTAGTACTGGAAAAGCAGCAACAATATCATTCCACAGTCTGAGACCCAACGTCCTGCCCCCATCTAAGACCTCGCTCCCATTCCTTCCCCACTGTGTCCCCTTCTGGGAAATGAGGAAGTTGGATTGTATCCAGCTCTGAGTCGCTGGACACCAACTCCAGCAACAGACCAGGGAGGGAGCCGCCATCTTGCCATAGGGATGTGGTCAGCCCAAAGGTGGCCGTGGCCTCTGACCACGCTCTGTGCCGACTGATGGTCACGCCTGGCAAACCCAGGGATTTGTGTGGCTTTGAGGCACTTTCTGGTCACCGGTGGCCCATCCAGACCCCCTGGGCTCTGACCCACCTGAAGGATAATGGATTGTGCTGACATTCGGGTTTCCCATACAGGAGATCATTATTTTGTCCCCCAAGGGGGTTGTCAGGAAAGAGCATGTCAGCAGCAACTTTTTAGCTCACAAGGGTGGGCTATGAGAGGTGTGTGAGGTGGATAGGTGTGTGAGGTGTGTGAGGACTGTGAGAGGTGGCAGGTGGATAGGACGCATGGGAACCGCGAAACATGCGGGACAGTGGCGAAAGCCCCAAGGGAAAGCCAGAAGCATGGGGTCTATTCCTGGATGCCCCCCATCTCCCCAAGGAACCCAAAAAGCCTCAGTTTTCCACCTATAAAATAAAAGTTTCAGAAGAGCCCGCACTCTCTAAGGCTTTTTCTCGTTCAGCTATTCTAAGGATCTGTGGTTTGGGGCAAGCAATCAAGAACCTCTGCTGGGCACCTAGTACCAGGCTCGGTTTCCCCATCTAGAAAAGAGAGTCAGGGGGCGCCTGGCTGGTTCGGTCAGAAGAGTGTACGACTCTTGATCTCGGGGTCGTGAGTTCGAGCCCCACGTTGGGTGCAGAGATCCTAAAAAACTAAATAAATAAACTTTAAAAGAGGGTTAATTTTTTTTTTTTTTTTTTTTTTTTTTACAGCAGGTCTGTTGCAATAATCGAGACGGTGCATATTAAGACTTTGCACAGTGCCGGGCACATGCCCTATAAATCAATGGCAACCCCCTTGGCTCCCTGCCTCATTTAACCTGGTCTGACATCTGTCTTTCTTTGAATTTCTCCCCCTCTCCCACCCTATTGAGACTTCCTTTAGGGGCTTCCCAAACTTTACCACCCAAATTTCCCTGCTGGCAGAGGAGAAAGAAAACATGGCCCTGGGGAGTCGGGGCGGCGGAGGGGGTGGGGGACATCACTAGAAGCCGCCTTCAGTGAGCTGAAATGTCTTTGAAGTCTGTCCCCCATTTACACTTAAAAATTCATGTGAATTCTGCTCTCTCCTCCTTATTATATCCATGTTCATTTTACTATAAAAGAATGGGTCTTCCCTACTAATCTTTAAGCCGAGTTGACACCCCAGAAAGAGGAGCAGTTTCTCATCCTGTGGTTTCCAGCAGCCCGACACAGGGCTGTCTGTCTATTTAGAAATAGCTCAGTGATGAGAACTCGCTGCCGACCTGCTGGATGCCTGCGCAGGATAATGCGAAGAGGAGATGGGGCAGAAGCAGTGCCCACCCCCACCCCCTGCACCCCCACCGCCTTCTAGAAGCAAGTCCTAGATGGAGAATGGCCAGAGATCATATTCAAATACTAACTCCCCTTCATGCATGTGCCCCAGCCAGGTCAGAACAGCCCTGCGTCCCCTGCTCTGCCCAGCTTTAACCCTTCAGTTGCTGGATTGTGGGGAGATCGTGGGGACCCTCAGGAAGAGTCTGGGGCAGTGACGGAGCACAGGCAGCTCCTGGATATGGTTATTTACCAGCTGGTGCTAGCAACTGTGACGAGGGCCAGTCTTCATTTAGCATCACCTAAATTTGGAGACAAGGAGGTGCCAGCTGATATATCAACCTCCCTGAGTCATTGTTGGTATCAAGGCCTAGATGAGGCCCTTGAAGCAAAGAGACAAAAAGAGACATTCCACCTTTGGAACAATAATGTGAGAAAGGTGGGGCACCCGGGTGGCCCAGTCGACTCTTGGTTTCGGGGCTCAGGTCATGATCGCAGGGTCGTGGGATCGAGCCCCGCGTCGGGCTCTGTGCTCAGCAAGGAGTCTGCTTGGGATTCTCTCTCCCTCTCCATCTGCCCCTACCCCCGCTCACTCGTGCTCTCTAAATAAATAAATAAAATCTTAAAAAAAAAAATAATAATGTGAGAAAAGTTGTCAGAGATAATCACAGCCCCTGGGCCCTCAAGTTCTATTGTTTTCTTACCACTCCCTAGAGGATCAATTCACCTCCAAGTGACCATTTCCAGCGGCCTCTCCATTGGCCCCTGGGGGACGCTAAGTCTGCGCACCTCGCCTGCTGGGGAAAGCGGCCACTTCCTCCCCAATTCCCGATGCTCAAATGACAGCTAATCTAAAGCATTATCCTATCCTGTGCAAATGAAAAGACTTAGGAAGCTACTGTCCCTTCCCCTTGGGTTCATTAGCTCCCCAAACCACAGGGGCAGACCCATCTATGTCCACCAGACTGCTGCATTTAGACTCTCCCTAAGCACGTCCAACTCAATGTATTCACATCTTCCCTCCTCTCTAAACCTGTTCTCTCTGCTGCCTCTTACTTTAGCTCAAGATGCCACCAACCTCCTCGTCAGCCCGGCGAAAACCCTAGCAGGTCATTCTCAATCCTTTCTCTCATCCTGCACAATCAGCAGCCTTTCATCTCCCAGCTCAACCTTATGCAATGTCACCTTGTCTTCAAACCCCAGTGGCTCACCTGTTCTGCCTCCTTTTGCTCGCGAACCATTTTTTATGTGTCTCTGGTAGAGCCCTTACTCTATTTTGCTCTAATTGCTTTTACGTGTCAGCGTCTCCTACTAACAGCGAGGAGCTCAGGAGCCGGGACCTGTAGCTCCCTCGTTTTACCATCCTCACAATTTAGCGCCGAAGATGAGGTTTTGATGGAATGAATGGCACGTAAGGGAAAACACGCGCATCCCGAGCTCTCCCACCCTTGCTGTAGGAATAGGGTGTATTCTATAGCTGAACCCACGCCCCCTGGGTCGGAGCCGCCGCATCCCTCCTTTCCCCAGGGACGGACGGTGCAAGAAAGGCCCAAGGGTTGGATTTCCTGGCCTTAAACCCATTGTCTCCTAGTTCCCTCCACATTTCCTACAAATCGTTCAAGGCTCAAAGTGACAGTTACCTCCGACATGTATAAAAGACATATTTTTCTCTTCCCTTCTCTTAGGGTTAAGCAACATCATCGGCATCATAGTTTATATATCAGCCAATGCCGGAGACCCCGGGCAGCGTGACTCCAAGAAAAGCTACTCCTATGGCTGGTCCTTTTATTTCGGGGCCTTCTCTTTCATCATCGCAGAAATCGTGGGAGTTGTTGCTGTGCACATCTACATAGCAAAACATCAGCAGCTACGTGCCAAATCCCACTCGGAGCTCCTGAAGAAATCTACCTTTGCTCGCCTTCCACCCTACAGGTATAGATTCCGGAGGCGGTCAAGTTCTCGCTCCACGGAGCCCAGATCCCGAGACCTGTCCCCCATCAGCAAAGGCTTCCACACCATCCCTTCCACTGACATCTCCATGTTCACCCTCTCCCGGGACCCCTCAAAGATCACCATGGGGACCCTCCTCAATTCCGACCGGGACCACGCTTTTCTACAGTTCCACAATTCCACGCCCAAAGAGTTCAAAGAGTCGCTGCATAATAATCCGGCCAACAGGCGCACCACGCCCGTCTGAACTTGACCTCTGCCCTCTGGCCTCCGCCCCAGCACAGCCTCGGAGGCAACGCACAGAGGCGGCTTTGAGGTTGCATGGCATGGTCCTCGTGATGGTATTACTTTTTACAAAGAATGAAACCAAATGGACTCAGCCCTCTCCCACACTTGGCCCCTGGCGCTCCAGGTCCCACCCCGCCCCCACCCCCCACCGTTCCTTCCTGACTTTTCAAGCCAATCCCATGATGTCATTCCTCTCTCTGTGTATCTGTGCCACATGTTTTCCTCTCTTCCTTCTTTACTGGAAGGACCTGCACATTCTTCCCTCCTTGGAAGAGGACTTTATTCAAAGTCACGGGTGGTGGCTGGGGGCGGGGGTGGGATCCCCGATTCCCCAGGCGCGTGCAATTGTCCCCATTGCCCACTCACACAAATCCTCGGGACACCAACCACCCAGGTGGCCCTGAAGGAGGCATTCACCTTTACGTGTTAGAAAAACATGACCAGAAATCAAAGATGTCAGAGCCCCAAAGCAGCTAATGTAATAAGCACCCATGTTATTAAAGGTTTTGCCTTGTTGTAATCAACCAAGCTGGGGGTGTTTTGTTTCTTCCGGCTACTTCCTACACAGACTCGTTGCCTCCCACAGGACTGGCTCACCTCTGTGTTGGAAGTTGAGTTTTGCTCATCTAACCGCCAGGAAGTTTCCCGGCCATCCCATCAACCCTTAAGACCAGCAAGCTGCCCCCGCCAATGTCAGAGTCAGCATTGTCCCTCACCTGAGTCCCTGAAGGCTAGCTGGGGGCAAGCGTGTGTTAAAAAAAAATCTGGCTCTGGCACCCAGGAGCTCCAGGAGCTGGGGCGAGTCCACCTCACCTTCAAGCCTCGGTCTTCTCATCTGTAAAGTGGAACACGGTATAGCACCCTCCTCCACAGAGCCGTGAGGCTCAAATAAAATGCCACGTGCAAAATGAGTAGCACATTGTGAATAAGTGATATATGTAGTTTTAGTTTTGGGATGCAGTCTAAGCAGCGTGAGCATTATCTGAGTCAGCTTGGGCTGCTATAACAAAAAACACCCTGGACAGGGTGGCTGACACCGCAGACGTTTCTTTCTCACCGTCCTGGAGGCTGGGAAGTCCAAGCTCAGGGAGGGTGCAAGCAGATTTGGTTCTCAGTGAGTGTGGGGCCTCCCGATTGGGTGGGGGCGGGTGGCACAGGCCAGGGAAGAATTCACCCGAGGCAGAACAAAAGAGATAAAAGTTTATGGAATACACCACAAGGGAGCAGCGGATAGGACAGACAGACTGTCTGCCAGGAGGCAGGGGTGAGGGGCCATAGTCCCAGGGCAGAGTGAAGGAGTATGGGGGCAGATGGAATTTTCCCTTCCTTGGAAATCTTAGGTTGGTTGTAAATAGTCCACTGGTCGGTTAGGGCCTATGGCTTAACGAGCCTGTTTGCGTTCAGCCTGGTGGTCTCTGTGGGCCCTTTTGCCTGGCTCAACTTTCCATGGCTCGAGCCACTTGCTTAAAAGCAGCCTCTACAGGGAGGGTTCTCCTCCTGGTTTGCAGAGGGCCGCCTTCTCACTGTGTCTCCGCACAGCCAGCTGAGGACAGCGCTCTCACTCTCTCTGTCTCTGTCTCTCTGTCTCTGTCTCTGTCTCTCCCTCTTCTTAGGAAGCCACTAATCCCAGCACAGCTTCCCCACCCTCATGGCCTCATCTACCCCTCATTACCTCCCAAAGGCCCCATCTGCAAATACCATCACAATGAGGGTCAGGGCTTCAATGTATGAATTCAGGGGGTGGGAGACACAGTCCACAGCAAGCATTATTGCAAGAAGACAGAACCAAACAGAAACGGTTCTACACTGGAGGGTGGGTAGGGAGGGGGGGGCTCTGAGGGCACTGGGGGAAGAGAATGGAAGGACATCTGAATATTTTGAATACTCCATACCAAAAAGCATGAGCTCAGTGTCACCTCTGCCGAGGCTGACTTCCTGGAGTGTGTTTTGGCCTGCACCCCGCTGTTCCCCACTTCCCAGCTAGCTGTCCCTCCTAGGGTTCCGGTTCCCGCAGAGGGCACAGGCAGGGTCCTAAGAGCTCATGCTTACCTCTTGCTGCCAGGTGCGGGGCTGGGTTCTAGCACTGTACACATCCACCCAGGGATAGTCCCTAGTTTCCAAGGAAGAGAGGTTACATGACTCGCCCAGACTTCACCCCCACTAGGGGCCGGGAGTCCCGGGAGCAAGGCACCTGCCCGCACCCACGCGGTCACTTTGATTGCCCAGTGCAGACTCCCTCCAATTCGTTTCTTTTAATGCTTAAGAGTCATTGCGTGCAAATCACACTTACATATATCAAATGATCTCCTTGAATCCTTAAAACAGCCCTGCGTGTAGTAGGAATTACTCTCCCCATTTTGGCAAGCGGGGAAAAGGGCTCAAAGAAAGTGTCTTAGGTGCAAATGAGCAGAACTGGCATGGATGCCCCACCTCAGCTCCCAAATTTGAGTGACTTCTTCATCTTCCAGCATTTTCCAAACCGGTCATTGGGGTACTAGGACCCTTGCGACGTTTCTCATAGGCACATGCCACGTCGACAATTATCTGTCTAACGTTTTTCTTTAAATTGACTCGCTTTTTAATAATAATAATAATAATAAATGTATCTAGCCTTAAGAAAGTGGCAACTGGGAAAATAAATACAATGAAAACAAAACAATCATGCCGTCTTCTAGCTACTGCCTGATCTTTGTAAAAAGGATATAACCAAAGCGTTAGGAAGATGTTCAAGATATCCTCGCACAAGAGAAGTAGCTTCTTTCGGCTTAATCAGAAGGATCCAAGGAAGGATCCAAGGAGCACTGGGAAAGGGGGTAGCTTTCTCACTATGAGATCAGGTCCCATTGTCTCATCCCTTGCCATAGGAATCGGGGCTCCAGGCACCCTCAGAGAGGGAAAGATCTGAGAGATGGAGCAAGTAGGTGATGAATCCTGTGAAATGGAACAAACAGCAACCTACAGCTCTGGGAATCAGGACTTTGTCAAACAGGGCATCTGGGGGCGCCTGGGTGGCTCAGCCAGTTAAGCGTCTGCCTTCGGCTCAGGTCATGATCCCAGGGTCCTGGGATCGAGCCTCGCATGGGGCTCCCTGCTCAGCGGGGAACTTGCTTCTCCCTCTCCCTCAGCCTACCTCTCCGCCTGCTTGTGCTCTCTCTCTCTTTCTCTCTCTCTGTCAAATAAATAAATAAAATCTTTAAAAACAAAAAAACCAGAGCATCTGGGGAAGCTGATGGGGATGGAGAGAAAGGTCCCAGGGGCTTCACTAGGTGGACGTCTGCTCTGGACCAAGTACAAAAGGCCAGATAGCAGGAAGAGAGATGTAGGCACCTGACGCCTGGAAGGAACCCCTGCCCACCCCTCCCGCATCCCCTCCCGCACCATCTAGGTCTGCTCCCTGCACGGCTTGGGCATGAGCAGCCTCAGAGAGCTTTTGCTTGAAGCCTGCTCAGCTGGACCTAGCTGGCTGGCATCAAATAAATATAATTATCACTTGCAGTTTGCAGCCAAGATCCCAGCCAACCCTTGTCATTTGAATCCCTGTGAAGGGTATTCATGGTCACTGGGCCCCCGCTCTGCGTGCTGCGTGAGGTAGGTACTATTGTTAAACACCCAGGATAGATGCTGAAACTTGCCAAGAGACAGCAAAGCAGGTACTCAATCTCTCGTCTGCCCAGCTCCAAAGCATATGAAAGAGCCTCCCTAAGTTGGGCCGGTCACGCTTCTCAAATCTCTTGTTCCATTACTGAGATCCTCATCTTCTCCCCCCCGATGCAGCTCTGTTTACCAAGGAATTTAAACAGGGGGCTCTAATTTTGATGGAGGCTCAAGGAAGAGGCGGTAGCATTTACAATCAGACCTAAAGGAAGAGTTAGAGTTAGCCAAGTGAAAAAAGGGACGTGTGCAGAGGACAAGAGTAGCATAGGCAAAGGCCCTGAGGCTGGAGACACCCTCCACCCCCTCCCCCAACAAAAGCCAGCAAAGCTGGAGCTCAGAGTGAGAGGGAAAGTAGCATCAGGTGAGTCTTAAGAGAAAGCTAGATCCAGAGGATGTACATTACAAGCATGTTAGGGATTTTGAATTTGAACCCTAAGTACACTAGGTACAACCTAATATGTATTTTCAGAAGTCTAATGTTAGGTGTCCAGTGAAATACTAGTTTCCTAAATCTTACCTTTAGAAATACTTCACTAAGAGCTTGTATCATTGGGCGCCTGGGTGGCTCAGATGGTTAAGCGTCTGCCTTCGGCTCAGGTCATGATCTCAGGGTCCTGGGATCGAGTCCTGCATCAGGATCCCTGCTCCTTGGGAGCCTGCTTCTCCCTCTGCCTCTCCCTCTCTGTCTCTCATGAATAAATAAATAAAATCTTTAAAAAAAAAAAAAAAAAAGAGCTTGTATCATTGCCTGCTTTGTCCACAGTCTTTAACATGTGGACATGACAATGAATTGGACATGAACTTGCCTTGGAGCATGGTTGGCCAGATTACAGCCTACACCTGATTTGCAGCTAGCTGAGCCTTTTATTTTTTTTTTAAGATTTATTTATTTACTTTGAGGGGGGCGGTGAATGGCAGAGGAGAGAGAATCTCAAGCAGACTCCCTGCTGAGTGTGAATGCAGGGGCTCAATCTCACAACCCTGAGATCATGACCTGAGCAGAAACCAAGAGTTGGACGCTTAACCCACTGAGCCACCCAGGTGCCCCATGAGGCTAGCCTGTCTATTCATAGGGTGGCCAGTGGCCTAGGCTTTGTGACTTGACTTTAAAAGGTAAATTGAGCCAATCAGACAATCTCTGCTGGAAATTCTAACTAAGAGACACAGAAAGCAGTTGCTAGTTGGCCAGAGGGAGCAGAACAGAAAAGGTATAAGGAAGCCTTGGGACCCGGGCAGCAACAGTGGGCCAAATTCAAGGTAAAAAGAGGACAACCCCCCCCCCCAAAAAAAAGAGGACAACCCTGCAAAGGCTTCCCATTGTAGGTAAATAAAATCCAAATTTTTGCCATGGTCTCCGGGGTCTTTCATTATTGAGACCATGCTAATCTGTCTAACTTTATTCTGTCACTTTTCACCTTGCTGCCTACCGTCCAGTTATGTGTCCTCTCTTTTCAGTTCCTTGATCCAGCCAAACATAGTTCTGCCTCAGGGCCTTTGCACCTTGCTTGAAATCACT